GTCTTGCCCCAGGTGACCCTGAAAGAGTCCCCTCAACTCCTAGGCTTCCATTTCTTGTTACGACAAAAAGAGAGGTGAAACGGCCTTCCTAACTCATAGGGTCCTAAGGAGCCCGTGGGAATTGGAGAAATCACAGCATCAAGTACAACATCAATGCAAGGACAGCTGCTGGGCGCGGACAGGACATATGGTTTCCATGCTTAGGAGCCTCTGGGAACCATTTTCCATTGAGGTGCTGGTGCTGAGCTGCAGGAGGAAAGGGGCAGCAACAGGCAGCCCCTCTTCTTAGCAGCCTGGACCTTGCAGGGGAAATGAGCCACATGCACACTGGACCCTACCGCTGGGAAGGAAGAAGGAAGGGGTGGGTGTCATGAGGGAGGTATCTGTTAGGTGTTACAGGAGCAGGAGAGGGAGCCAGGCCTTCTGATTGGTGGCCTCATGGAGGCGGTGCCCTTGGTGCTAGGACTTGTGGGGAAGCCTGAACAAGGGGAGATGGAATGGGGTGGGAGATGGGGGTTGGGGGGAGAGACACCACAAGGCAAGACCTGCCAGGGCCAGAGGGATCTAAGGGGAGTGGAAAATTATCCTGGAATGAGAAGCTTCATGTCTGCCAGGGCCTCGTGTGCCAGGCTAGGGGTCTGGGCTTTACACAGTGGGTACATGAGCAGAGCTGCCATGAATATTCTGGAGAACGAGAGAGCAGCACGGTTGGCGTGACATAGTTCCGGTGGCTCTGAGCAGGGACACCAAGCAGGGAGAGAGTTTTTCTTCACTGGACTGAATTCAGCTCCTGCAGCCTCCTTATCAGTCCTGGTTCTACCTTCCATGGACCATTCTGAACTCATCTCCTCTTGCCCATCTCCGCAGCCCCAGTGCGTTCAAACATTCCCCTTAGGAAATGGTTCCTAGCCTCTCAGCCTCCAATGGCTCCCCTGCAGGTCCTGACAAAAGGCCAACATCTTTCTCAAAGTGTGTGACCAGAATAACAGCAATTAAGAAATAGTAAATCGCCTTAACTGGTTTTGCTCAGTGGATAGAGTGTTGGCCTGCGGACTGAAGGGTCCCAGGTTTGATTCAGGTCAAGGGCATGTACCTTGGTTGCGGGTGCATCCCCAGTAAGGGGTGTGCAGGAGGCAGCTGATCGATGTTTCTCTCTCATTGATGTTTCTAACTCTCTATCCCTCTCTCTGCCTCTCTGTAAAAAATCAATAAAATATATTTTTTAAAAAAGAAAAGAGTAAATCAAATCCGGACTTAGAAAACTCCCCAGTGACACTGGAGACACTGTTACGCAAAGGCATGTTACAAAACAGCACCCAAGGCTCTGGTCATGAATAGCCAATCGCATATGAATGGGCTGTGTAGGATGTTCTCCTTTGTTGTGGTGGCTAATGATTACAATGAGCATGAGAGGGACTTCCTTGGAAGTGTGAGCCTCAAGCTATCAAGGAGTGGTGTCGCTGCAGGTGATGGTTTTTCTATGTGCTTTCTAAGTTTTCTGCACTGAGCATAGATTCTGTTATATAATTAGAAGGATTTTTATGAGTAAATACAGTGATGTCTATAAGGAATGTTGCAGAAGGGCGTGGACCCTGATCAGATGTGGGGGACACAGAAGGGAAAGAAGCTGAAAGAGCTGCTCCGGACCCCAAGTTCCGTTTCAGACAGGTGCAGGGGAGAAGTCAATGAACTACTGGGTGAGAAGATACCAGAGGGAGTGAGCCCTTCACGACCAGAGGAGGCCAAGTGAGGGGGCCTAGTAGAATCATCTCCTTGAAAGTGAAGGTGCAAACCACGGATGTGTGTGACGTCACTGAGGCCATTGGGAGAGAGAAGAGAAAAAGCTGCAGAGAACGCACAGGGGAAGCTGCGGCTGACACTGAGTGGTGGGAGACAGGCACCCTGGTGGGGGCAGGGTGGAGGTGAGCAGTGTGGAAGCCATGGGAGAAAGGGTGCCACGCGTGCTGAGTGCTTCAAGAGGGGAAGGAGGGTGACGTCTGAGAAGAAACCAGACTTGATAAGAGCCTGGCCTTGAGGAAGTCAATGATAACCTTCAAGAGACATGAAGAGCCCAGTAGCCCAATTGGCCAGGGTGAAAAAGAGGGTGATTGGGTTGGGAGACCTATGCAGTAATGGTAACCGCAGCAGTTCCCACGTATGTTATAGGTCACGTTTACATGTTGGGCATTTCCTGTGTATCAGATGGGCATCCTGGTGCACTGAATCATCCCCAGAGTCTTGCCAGGTAGGCAGTAGTCTGCCCATTTTACAGATGAGAACACAGAGGAAATGGAGGGAGCCAAGAATGGGCTTTCTAAAGAGGGAAACGGATGACCTTGCCAGGAGGTGGCAGCAGTGAGGGAATGCTCCACTCCTAACTTGGTTCCTTTCTTACTCTGCCCTGTCACTCAGTCCCAGGCCTCTCAGAGTGCATGCCACCAAAAAGAAATAAAGTCCCGATGGGGCCTGGGCTGTCAGGGTACCGATGGCCACAGCACTGTGGGTCCAGGAGCCAGAGATAGTATAACCATGCAGAAACTTTATTTTCTTTAATCTGGCCTTTATTTTTTTTAATATATTTTTTATTGATTTCAGAGAGGAAGAAAGAGAAAAACATCAATGATGAGAGGAAATCACTGATCAGCTACCTCCTGCACACCCCTCACTGGAGATCAACCCCGCAACCTAGGCATGTGCCCTTGTCTGGGATCCAACCCAGGATCCTTCAGTTCACATGCCGATGCTCTATCCACTGAGCCAAACAGGCTAGAGCTGGACTTTATTTTTTTCCCTTTGATTCTAAGTGGCTTTACCCAGCACCCTGACTCACTCAACTTCCCTCTCCCTTGCTTGATCATGTAGCCCAAGCATGTCAACCTCGTGACTGGTGGCCTGCGAGTTGGCCATGCTTGATGTAGCCCTCAGGGCTACTGGTCAGCATCCAGCAGTCTTAGGAACAAGGTCCTGGTTCAATTGACTATTGATTCAATGTTTTCAATCCTCACCTGAGAAACATGTTTGGAGAAAGGAAGGGAGGCAGGGAGGGAGGGAGGGAGCATGGAAGGAAAACATCAATGTGAGAAACATCAAATGGTTGCCTCCTATACACACCCTGACCTGGGATTGAACCCACAACCCAGATATGTGCCCTGACTGGGAATCAACCAGCAATCTTTCTGTGCATGGGACGATGCTCAACCAACTGAGCCACACCAGCCATGGCTTATTCTGAGTTAGAGAAATATTTTAAGCAGTTTAAGCAAAAGGTGTCATAATAAAAAGGACCCTTGTGAATGTTTGAGCA